TTATGACTATTCTCATTTGAAGTGTTTTAATTGGGCTTTTAGCATGAGACATTTTAAAAATTGATCTGTAAAAATACTTAGCAGCCCTGCTTGGTTTTAGCATCTAACAGCAACAGCTTGCAAGATAATACACTACATATCTACACTGGGGAAATAAGCAAAGCCATAAATTTCAAGTTGTTCTTGATGTCATTTCTGTCAAGGAGCAGAACTGGATTGTCTAAGGGGTGAGTTGCACAAAGCCCTGTCTGTCACAAGTTATCTTAATACCCTAAAGGAGGATGTATTAAACAAGATCAAGCACATGGCTGAAAACACAATGTGCTGAAGGGGCCTTCAGCTTTCTCAGTCATGAAACTGTTCCATGGCAAAGGCCAGATGCACAGACATGGCAGTTTACATCTGAAGAAGACCGATCTTCTTGGGGCAAAGATCTACATACAAATTCAAGAAAACATTTCAATTTGAGTGAGGAGCAGGGGATAAAAAGAAAATTGGAAAGAAAGGGACTATTCCAAAACAGATCCCCAGGTAATTAAGAGCTTATATCGTTAATGCTGAGAATATTAGGGACAAGAAAACAAGTTACGGCATTAACTTGTATTGTACAATGAAACTGGAGTCACGGGAAGATGGTTAAAAGACAATGACATGAAAATATAAATTAACAGATATGCAGCTTTTCAGAAAGGCAGGAAGGAGAAAGAAATGGAGATCCAACATTATACAATGTAAAAAAGCATAAAGGCACAGGGACCGCAGCTTGAATCAAAGTTCCCAGAGTCCTACATAAGTCAGAATTTAATAGACTAATTCCAAATACAAACTATACCGCAGTCTTACAAATCAGGAACTGTAAAGAAAATAGGCAGTTACCATTGGAGACGTTGATTTTACTCACATGTTGGAAAAGAAAATCACTACAGAGGTCCGCTACTGGAACTAAAATGGCAGGCATGAACAAGAAACATCAAATGATTCAGAAAGAATAGCAGCCACTTTAAGAAAAAAGACTTACAGGCAAAGATATAATCTTACGATATTATTTATTTACGAACAACCTGCAATGTGATCAAATCTTTTTACGGAAGATATCTAGGGGGTAAAAACACAGCTGGAAACAGTTAACTTTATCAGCTGTTAAAGATAAATGTTTGGCAAGTACAGTTCTTCGCAAGTCAAGAGACAGACAGACTAGAAGAAAGGTGTACAAAAACAATAATATCAAGACAGAGCACCATCATGAACCCATATTGACCCTCTCAGAGGCAATTCTGATTTGGGGGTGTTTAGTCATAACCCCACACATAGCTGCTTTACACCACTGCCACCCCAGCAAAGCCCAAATGTCTGAACCTGTGGTTCCTCTTTTACTGAGCCAAATAATTACTGCAATAACACATTACCAGCAGGACAAAACTAACTGTTCTTGAAAAATAATCTTCACCTTCCTTCTCTTTCCCCAGCTAATCAGTACCATACTAAACAATGGAACCCCCCATTGATTAGGGATGTTAGATGGTTTTTTTATTTTATTTTAATGGATAAGTCCGTTGAGAACAAATTCTATTTGAAAGGGATGACCCGGAGACGCAGTTACACAGTGGGGCATTTACTGCAGTACAATACATTGCTCAAAGATACAACAGCAGCATTCCACCCAGAATACAAACCAGCCACCCTCTGGTTTGAAATTCAGAGTCCTAGCTGAAATCCACACCGCTGGCACGCAGAAATTTAAACTGGCACACCGCAGTTAACATGGGGAAAACAAATTAAAAACAAGCTATTATTGTTATTATAAAAACCCAGAACTGTTATTCACATATTTACATATTTTTACACTTAAATGTCATGCATTTTAAAATATCCAATCCAATGCAACTGAGGTGCCAGATATGATTTAAGTCAGGTCCTAGAAAAAAAAGCTTAATTTTCAAAGGACATTCAAAGAGTCCAGACTGTGGCTTTTGTAATATGTACTTTGGATCAAATATTATTTACTTCAAAAAGTACAGCACTTCCCAAGTCCCAAGAAATTAAAGAGGATTTTCTTGCTTCTCACTTGCGAAAGTCAAGGACTTGCTATGTTTCACTCTCCAGATCTAAATGCTCCCTACTTTGTGTCCGCTCACATGGAAAACCACTGCACTATCGAGTGCTCTCGCACTCTGTGGCGTCTTCATCTGACCCAGAAGAAGGCATGCTAAGGGGTATCCAATGCAAAATCAAAGTGAACGACTTATCCAAATGAGGTACTAAAATACAAATAAACATTGGGAGAAGAACTTTTTTTTCCTCACCTCTCTTAGTACCTGTCTTTCGACCATATGATAACACTGTTATGTATTCAGCAGCGTGATGCACTACCAACTGAGAAACAATGTCAACTATGGAGTGCAATCATGCAAGATGAATGTGATTAGCGTGCTTCCATAGAACCAGAGCTGGCCATCCATGCAATGGCTCACATTCAGGCACCAAAAGTTGTTAATTAATTTTCTCAAAAGCAGAAGTACTGATTCGACCTTTGTGATGGATCCCAGCAGCGTATATGAAAGCGGTCTGTATTTTGCAGGGAAATTAAAAGCGCATTTGCTAATGTTTAATTCTGGTAGCATGAATGACGGCACGCTTTTATCCCCGAGATCCCAAATGTGCTCTTCATTGGGAGCCTCCTTTAAAGCCGACGCCAAAGTCATTTTTTTCCCTGCTTTTGAAAATGCAGATCAAAATAAGAGGCACTATAGAGATGCATTACATCAGCCTGTAACAAAGAGGCATTGATTTATTTGCTTTTGGTCTCTTTGTTTTGTTTTCCTATTTTGTTAAAAATATTAAAGACAGAATTTATCAACAGCTGTTCCCCAAAACGCACTTTGCACCGTACTGGAGGAAGTGTAGAGGCACCCAATGTTGAACAATAGAACAGAAAACAACTCTGGAGTACCCTAAAGTAATAGCTTACAAATTATTAAACTATAATACTGTGATGATTTATATATATTAGTCTACCCCAGCTTGCTCTCCATTACCAACACAGGCGGGTAGAGAGAAGTTTGGGGTCAGAGCGCAGGGTCAGCCATTTATACGGTACCCCTGGAGCAGTTGGGGTTAAAGCCTTGCTCAGGGGCCCAACGGAGTAGGATTCCTCTGCCGGCCACGGGATTTGAACCGGCAACCTTCCAGCCACAGGTGCAGATCCTTAGCCACAGAGTCACCGCAATGCCCATGATCTCCCCAATATTTTCAATAAGGATAAAGCGATGAGTGCTTGTTGTGCACTATTTTCTGGACTTGGGGTACTGTCTGCGTGGAGTTTGTATGTTCTCCCCAAGTGTGCATGGGCTTCCTCTAACAGTCGAAAGACATAGTGGTAGATTGATAGGCTTCTGCAAATACTGGCCCTGGTGTGAGTGAATGCATGTCTGTTTGTAGGCTGCGAGGGACCGGCATCCCGTCCACTGGTGCACCCAGTCTCGAGTTTGTTGCTTGCCTGGGATAGAGTCCCACTCCCCCACAGCCCTGCACTGGAGGAAGCAGCTAGAAAACAGGTGAATGAATGGAATTAAAACACGGCAGCGCTATGTGTCCACTGACAGCCTGCATCACCCAACCCAAGCCGAAAGACAAGAATAAACACACAAACGAGTTGCACAGCATTATTTTACAAAGACTCATGCTTTAAACACTTCGTTCATTAGACATATTCAAGTGAAATAATTTTCAAGCGAATCCGAGCTGCCGTTTCTTTAAAATGGCAAGCTGCATTTCTAGATGAAGCAGTCAGTTTAGATTAACCGACTAACTCAGGCTGCACTTAGTGTAACATGACAAATAATGGGTCCACAAACAGCAGAAGTGTCCCTGCAAGTATAACATTACGCCCCCCTGCACTGGGATGTACTTGGATATTGGTGCAGAGTGGGACACTGGACACTGGACACTGGACACTGGACACTGGACACTGGACACTGGACACTGGACACTGGACACTGGACACCCCTTCAAGCATTTTCCAGCCTTTTCTCTACTCATTCATACTTGTTTCAGCTCTTACCAGGTTACTTTGAATGACTACAGGTGGGAAATGACAAAGTATCACACTTTCCCCACAATAAGCACGGCTTTGCACTTGCAGATACATTTCGGGAAACGCCATTTCAGGACAAAACAAAGTGTGTGTCGAAGAAGACAAACTATGGCAAAAATTAATATTTCCAAACAGCAAGGCGACTAATTTGTTAATGTATATTATTGAAAAATGCACATCCCGTTCATGCCAGATGGGCAAAAATGTCGTAATTTTTTTATGAAAAACACAATTCCAGTAAGTAGTCTATGTGGAGCAACATGTTTTTTTTTTCATATTATACATTTCTATTCAACAAGAGACTGTCGAGAAGAAGTGGTTTATGTAGAAGTAGAATATTGACCCGAAAGTCAAAAGATATTAATCCAAAACCGTAGATCACGTCAATACTGATAAGCTAACAATTGCCTCGTTATCATTTTGTGACACTCTCCTCTATTGCTATAACAGCTGGCAAATAAATTCCATTTTACATCAATTATACCTTTACAGTGGCACGAAATTTTAAAACAAGAAAAATTACGAAAAACCACGCTGTGTCAATCCAAAAGCCTTTTTGTCCTCAGTGACCACACTGACATTCATCATGAAAAGTAGGCCTGTGAATTAAAAATTGATTACAAATACTTAAGATGACCAAATTATGGAAACAGAGTAACATGTTGTATATATTTGCTTTTCAAAAGACTTGGAATGCTGCAATTATTCACTCATATGCAGCCTTATTTCGAGTAAGATTAATCTAAAGGGGATACTGTATTGCAGGGCTGAGCAGTGATGAGATGCAGTCAGAAGAGGTACATTAAGGACACGAGGCTGTAAAAGAAAAGCTGAACCCAAAATAAGGAAAAGCCTAGCCAGCTCCGAATGAAGTTTCCGGCTCCGAATAGCTTGTAGTGTGTCTTACCTGCGCGCCATCCTTCAGTTTTAAGATGCACTCCATGGTGTTGATGGTGATGACCACCGGCTCTGACCCTAGTTTGGTCCACGGCACGTGAATGCGCAGTTCGTGAATGTGCCCGCTCAGGAAAGTGAAAGGCAGCTTCAGCTCCTGCAGCAGGACAAGCAAACATGGGATCAAACTTTGGCTAACGGAGGGGCAGGGGGTCAGCTCACACAGCTGCAACCTGTCTCAGAGCTGCCTGAAGCATCCATCATGACGCCCCATGATAGAAAGTCTTCAAGTGAGAAGGAAGTCTCATGCGGTTTGGACTACGCAATGACCAGGGAGGGGAATTCACTTG